GTTTTCTGTTTGAATTCTACTTCCCAAAACTCCTCACCTACGGGAGGAAAATCAACGCTTGAAGGGCGTGTTTAATTTACTGGCCGAGCAAACAGCTTAGGAGAGAAAGGTGGTGTTTCCTGCTGATTAAAGGAGCGCTGTGCCTCGCGGGCCTCCACCCCTACCGGTCACCGGGGTTAAGTGATTGCCCGAAGCCGCCAGGAAAGCCCAGACTGATTCTGCTGCGCCCACTGCCCGGGGAGCGGGGGGCTGGGAGGAGGCCTGGGAGTGTGCAGAGAGCACTTGGAGAAAGCGGGTGCAGCGAGCAGCCCCTGAGGCCCCACAGCAAGCCGCTGGAGCCCGTGCACGGGACAAGCAGACGGCCGCCTCCCCGGGGACCCTGAGCCATCTGCCCTCGGCCACGTGCTGCAGCCAGGCGGCCCTCGGGGTCGGCCAGCTCAGCAGGAGCTCCGGGCCCTGGGCTGGCGGGCCTTTCTGGAGAGTGGGCGTCGTGGCCCCTGGTCCCTGCCCCTGCCACTCAGGCCTGTGACGGCTGGCACAGTCCCAGCAGGTGCTCTCAGGACGGCCGGAGTGCGGTGCCACGAACGCGAGCTCTGTATGACCTTGGAAACATAGGCCGTGTCACCATGTGTTATTTACTTGTTGGGAGACCGAGGACCTTCACTGGGGTTTTTAGGCTCAGGGTTCACAGCTGAGTCCATCAGCCCCCCAGATTCTTCTGGGAGACCGACCCCAATAATAAATGCGGGGGGGTGTGGGCGGTGACGGGGCAGGAGGAGAGCCCCGGCCCCGGGGCTCGGGCCTGGGCACACCTGCGGCACCCTTGCTGAACTTCGTGCCCAAGCCCCTGTCATACACGGTTCGCCCTGTGAGTGGTGGCCACCCGGTCTCACCAACGGGTCAGAGGAGTGAAGGGCCCCAGCTGCTCCCGGCGCTGACCTGGGCCCTCCCCTGCCCCCCGAGCCCCTGTAGGCTGGGTCTCCTTGCTCCCACCACTGCAGCCTTGTCCGCTTCTTGCCCAGCCCCCCGAACTGAAGGCACCCCGCCGCCCCCAGAGAGCCGCATCCAAATGTCGGAACTGTGGCCAGGATTTCAGGGGCTGGAGAGAGAGGGTGCGCAGCCGGCGGCGGCGGAGGGTCCCTCGGTAGAGTTCCCGTGGGCAGACGGCCCCACTGTGGTCCGACAAGCGGCATCTCGTGGGGCAGGACCCGGGAGTAAAGACCACAGGCCCTTCCCCAAGCACCAGCTCCTGGCTGCTCACGGCCCTGGGACCGGGCGGATTTTGGTCTTGGTCCGCGGCCGGGGGAGCGTGAGGGGGGTCCTCTGAGTCGACACGGGGCTTCCTCCGGTTCCTCCCTCACTGTGTGGTGGGCTTTTTAGGAGAAGCCATTAAACCGTGCAGGGCGCCAGCGGAGGTGACAGGCTGCCCCAGGAGCCGGGAGTGAGTGGCTGTGTGGGAGACAACACATGTGTGAGTGTGTGCGTGTGGTGATGTGGGACGCGCATGTGCACGTGTGAGTGCACACACGGGTGAGTCTGTGTGTGAGAGTTGGCCGTGAATCCTGACAACAGGCCTGAGGCGGGGCCGACATTGCTGCACTCTGCCTGGAGACCTCTGAGAGGAAGGGAGGAGAGGGTCCCTCTGCGGCTTCCCCCCAACCATCTATGGGCCGGGAGGGCCCGGGGGGCATCCCAGTGCAGCCTGCGGAGATGCGGGTGTCACGGTGGACGTGACATCATGTGTGCCTCCCAAGACTGGCTGCTACCAGAAGACGATGCTTCGGTGTTCCTTCCTAAAAGCCCACGGATGCTAGCATTCCAGGGCAGGTTGTCAGTGCTGGCCCCGCCTCCAGGGAGGGCGCCGAGGGGTGCAGACCCCGGGCGGTGAGCAGGGCTTAAAAGGGATCACTCAATCTGCCCAAATCTGGGCCTTTCCTGGGAGGCTCCGCTGGGCTCCTTGGACCCTGAAAGCTGCTGGAGGCACCACGCGGCACCTCAGGAGGGCTCCGGGAGCCGGGAGGCCAGTCCTGAGAGAGGCCCACCGGGCGGGGCAGGCAAAGCAGTGGGCAGGGCCAGCTCGGGCCCGCGGGGGACACGAGGGACCAGCAAGGTACAGTCAGACCCGACAGGCGGGGCCCCAGAAATGGCCCGGCCTGCCCTCCTGTGCCCCCAGAGCACCTGCCTCCTGGGCAGCCCACCTTAGTGATGGTGAAGCAGAGGCCCAGGGAGCTCGCACGCTGTCCCCAGCGAGGGGCAGAGCAGGGGGAGCCCCCACCCCAGTAGCCTGGCTCCCTGCACTCAGAAACGTGTGCCAGCCCTGTCCCGGGGCCCTGGTGCCCAGACTCCAGCCCCCGGCTGGCAGGCTGCCCTCCAGAACCACCGGCTCAGAGGGGCTTCTCACTGGGGCGGGGTGCTCCACGTCACCCCACGGCCACCGGGGCAGAGACGCCGGGCACAGGACACAGTGTGCTCGGAGGAGGCACCTGGTCACTTTGAGAACGGCGCGGAGGTGAGTTCTGCCCGATGCTGGCTGGGCTGCTCCCCACAGACGCCAGCAGAGCTTCCTCCCGCCGCGGGCCCTCACCCGTGAGACGCCCCCTTCCGCCCCCGGAGGAGAAACACGGGCCCCGCGTGGGGGCAAACCTGAAAACCCCTCCAGGCCTGGTTTTCTTTCTGGCTAAACCCTGTCTCACCCGCTCATCTGGGTTTGGCAATGAAGGTGGGCACGTGAACGTCGCAAGTGGGCAGTGGGGCTGTGGAGGCTCAGGGACCATCAAGCTGGCCTGGAGGGGGCTGGCCTAGGGGACGAGCGGCTTTACCTGTGGGCCCTCGCGCCCCCCGCCCCCACCCCCGCCGCGACAGCCTGTCCGACGGTCCTCTCGGGGTCAGCGGGTCAAAAGCAAGTTGTTCTCTGCTGACTTGATGCTAAGGGCATCGCTGTCCCCCACACAGGGGAGAAGAGGCCCTCAGAAGAGACAGGAGCAGAGGGGCCCCTGGGAGCTGCCCAGGACGGGGCCTCGGGCCCCGGCTGTGGCTCCCGAGCCAGCGGCTGTGCTGGACGT